CTGGAATCCTCTTTGATAGTTTCCAAGGTGGAGAAATATGTGTTCTTTATCCAGCAGCCCCCAGGAAGAAAGACCTGAAGAGCTCCCGGGTGCTCCAAGAGTCACCCTTACACTTTCACCCTGCCCGAAACCCGAATTCCTTCCTGCCCAGTGGCAGAGTTTCATCAGGAGGGTGGAGACCAACCCCACCCCAACAAGCCCAAAGTCTCGTTGTTGACACACACCCGTGACAGGTGGAACTTCCATGGGCTCACCACCTCCTCCAACATCCCTGCGTCCATGGACACGGGCAGAGAGAGGTTTCCCGCCGCCGACTCACAGGTGGAGGGGGAAGTCACCCAGAAGCCCCCCAGGAAAAATCCCACCCTCCCTGGAGCACAGGAGCTGAACTCCAGCTGAGTCAGTGCTCTGATCAGCTGTGTTCATTTTCCTACATTCCAGCTGTCGCCACGGTGTCTGGAGATCTGACACCTGGAAATCCGATATCTGGAAAACCGAGAAGACTCCATCCTGCAAACCAGGGAAGAGGTGGACACCACGTGGGCTGATGCCAAGGCTACTATGACATGACCACAGTGTCAAATGTGGTTGTTTGTGACAGAAGAATCTGCTCTGCTTGTGCCACCAGAAGGGTGTGGGGTGACCTTGGTGCTGCCTTTCAGCACCTGAAGCGAGGAAAGAGACTTTGGAGAAAGGCCTGGAATGACAGGACAAGGGGGAATGGCTTTAAACTGCCACAGGGCAGGGGTAGATGGGATGTTGGGAAGAAATTCTTCCCTGGGAGGGTGGGGAGGCCCTGGCACAGGTTGCCCAGAGAAGCTGTGGCTGCCCCATCCCTGGAAGTGTCCACGGCCAGGTTGGAGCAACCTGGGATAGGGGAAGGTGTCCCTGCTCATGGCAGGGAGTTGGAATTCCATGATCTTTCAGGTCCCTTCCAATCCAAACCATTCCATGATTCCATGGAGAGGCTCAAGAGCAATATCCAGTTCTGGGCTGGACAATGTAGGGGAGAAGGTGACAAACCAGAGGTGGCTCAGAGAAGGACCACTAGGAGGATTAAAGCCCTGGAGAACAGACTTCCCAGAGAAGGAGCCAAAGAACCCACCAAAGTTCTATCAGAGAAATATCCTAAACAAAACACATCTCCACAGGGGACAGGAAAATTGCAACAGTGAGAAATTAAGTTTAGTAAAGGGATAACAGGAGCTACTGTTTGTAGGAACTCTACAAATCAGAGTAAAATATTTTACACAGGAGTAGCTTCACACCTGGTTGATATCCAACCTCTGCACCAGCTCGCCAGAGCTTGGTGTTCACCCCCTGCCACAAAAATCTGCTTTCCTTTTCATCCAAACAAGAATCAACTGTAAGGAAAGTCAAATCAGGGAGTTATAAACGTGGAAACACTGAATTTAAGTCACCTGCCTTTCCTGGTGTATGTGAGAAGCAGTGAGAGATTATATCTACCTGCATCACCTTATAAATAAAGACAGTCTCCCAGGGACAGGCTGGGAGTGGGTTTGGATTGATATCACTGAGGATTCCAAGAGGTTTTTGGCACACAAACTTTTCTCCCTACGCACCACTCCTCGTTTATATTCTCACCTCTTCAGACCTGAAGTGACATTTCAACTGAAGTCTCTTATGGTTCCTGTCAGTCAGGGCTCAAAACCTTTCCCGGGGTTCATTCCACCCCTGACAGAGACAGATGGGAATTTGGGGCCTCCTGAGCCCTGCAAGTTGTCTAAGCCTGACCTAACTATGTCAAACCACATCTTCCACATCTTTATCAAGCTCAGCTTAAAGGAAGAGGAGTTTCCACCCTGCCTTTTCTTAGAGAAAGAATCCAATTTTTCCCATCAAGATTTCCCAAACTCTGATTCCCAGTCTCATTTAACTTAGGCTTGTCCTAACTCTGGCCAGACAAAACAGTCTTTTCCAGTGCCATCTTTTGGGGTGGTTCCTGTTCTCCCAGGTTTCCCATTAGTCTCCATCTCTTGTTTGTTTGTTTGTTTGTTTGTTTGTTTTCCATCAGGACCCCCCCCACACCCATTTTTTTCTTGACAGGGGCAGTGAATTTCCAGCTGAGAAGCTGTTAGGATGTTATCACTTCCCAAATCCCCTGCCAAGAGCCTCCCTCCCCTCCCAGCACACGAGCTGACATCACCTGGGGTTGTTTGTGTTGGGTTTTGGAGTTGTTTTCGGGGCTCCATCTCACCTCTTTATCTTTACATCAACTAATACCTTAAAGGCAACAGACCTCAGAGGCCTTTCCTTCCCTCCACAACTTTACTGGCACGTTCCAAACTTCTCTCTCTCTCTCCCTGAGTTCTGGCTCTGCTGCACACCCAGCCACCCTGCATGAGTTCTGCTCTTTTCCCAGGGGGAAAGAATCCAATTTTTCCCATTAAGACTGAGGATCTTAATGGATTTCACGGAAAGATCTCCAACTTTTTCAGCCTTTTAGACGGAGTTAAGACAGTGGTTAAGGATTTCCATCTCTATTCCTTCCACCAGGATGATTTCTTCCAAGGATTTCTCGCCATGGAATGATTTGCAGGTATGAGAGGACCACTGGAACATCCCTGCATGGACATCTCCACTCAACAAGCCACTCACCATCCACCTTTTCTGGTGCTTTCCTCTGAAGGCAGAACCACCTGGAATGCTCAAAGTGCTGGATCTTTTCCAGTTTCAGGGCTGTTCATTAAAGATGTTGCTCAAATTTGCCTCGAGCCGCCCAGTTACAACAGGGATCTGGACGTAACCAGCTCTGGTGGCTTTCAGGGAGCAGAGTTTTGCCTGTTCACCCGGAGAGTTCTGTTTGAGCTGCTTTCTGTTTGCTTTTCTGCATGTTTTGAGCTGCTTTTCTTCATGTTTGACCTGCTTATCTTTATTTTTGAGTTGTTTTGCTCCACGTTTTGGGCTGGTTTCCTCCGTGTTTGAGCTGCTTTTCTTTATGTTTGCTTTTCTTCATATTTTGAGCTGCTTTTCTCCGTGTTTGAGCTGCTTTTCTTCATGTTTGCTTTTCTGCATGTTTTGAGCTGCTTTTCTTTATGTTTGAGCTGATTTCCTCTGTATTTTGAGCTGCTTTTCTCTATATTTGAGCTGCTTCTCTCTATGTTTGAGCTGCTTTTCTTCATGTTTGATTTTCTTTATGTTTGACCTGCTTTTCTTTATTTTTGAGTTGGTTTCCTCCATGTGTTGAGCTGCTTTTCTTTATGTTTGGTTTTCTTCATATTTTGAGCTGCTTTTCTCTATGTTTGACCTGCTTTTCTTTATTTTTGAGTTGGTTTCCTCCATGTTTTGAGCTGGTTTCCTCATGTTTAAGCTGCTTTTCTTCATGTTTGCTTTTCTTCATATTTTGAGCTGCTTTTCTTCATGTTTGAGCTGCTTTTCTTCATGTTTGAGCTGCTTTTCTTCATGTTTGAGCTGCTTTTCTTTATTTTTGAGCTGGTTTCCTCTACATTTTGAGCTGCTTTATGTTTGCTTTTCTTCATGTTTTGAGCTGCTTTTCTTCATGTTTGAGCTGCTTTTCTTCATGTTTGCTTTTCTTTGTGTTTGAGCTGCTTTTCTTCATGTTTTGAGCTAGTTTGTTTTGTGTTTTGGGGTTTTTTTCTTTAATGTTGCTGATCTCTGACAGCACAGGGAGATAAAATAAAGGACATTTTTCACCCTCATCGTCTGGTGCCGGTTTTCCCTCCCCTTTTCCCAAGGCCCAGCACACTGATCCCGCCTCCCCAGCTTTGTGTCATCCATGGCTGGGGAAATTTTCCTTAGCAAAGCTTCTCGGGCTCCTGGGAGCCATCCTCAGTCTGGGAATAAAGGATGGGCTGCCGGGAATGGCAGCAACGCCCACGTGGGTTGTCATAACAAGTCTGTGACAAGCAAAGCACCAAGTCATTAAAACCTCCTCGTTCAGCCACCTCATCTCCCATCCCTGAGGTCTCCAAGTGACTTCCCAGTGATTCACAAACTTCTCTCCTCTGGCTTATTCAGCTGTTTTTATGGGGAGTTGCATAACAGCGCTGGGGTTTTCCCAGTTTCCCAACAAACAGGGAAAAAAAAGTCTTTCAGCTTTTCCCGTGAAATATGAAATGCCTCTGGCTCAGGCAAAAGGGAGAAGCAAATAGTTTCTGCCTGGCTCCAGGTGTTTTGAGCTGTTTCCCCCAAATATTGGATAAGATACAGAATAAATTGGGGTGTTTGAAAAGGTTGCCTTGATACCCTCGTGAAGTGAAATTCGCTCTCAGGAAGGTACCAAAGTGGGAAAATTGCTTCATTTCTCCATGCTAGGCCTATTTCCCAGCTTCAGAATGAAATTTGGGAAAGGGTGGACGGCTTCCCAAAAGAAGGCTGAGCTTCCTGCTTTGCCAGCATGACCCAGGAGCTGGAAAAGCAACACGGCATATCCGAACCCCACACTTGGAAGCATCATCTCCCACTAGCACGCCCAGCAGCTCAGCACAGGGGCTTAGCTCATGGCTGGCATCCAAAACCCAGCCTTGGCTTTGCCCTGGATGCGGGAAAACAACCATCTTTAGGCCATGCCAGCCCACGGAAACACTTTTTCCAAGGCACGTGGGGAGGCCCAGCCTGCTGCCACTCGCACCTTGGCTGGCGCTGCCCGCACGTGACACGGGCCGGCTGCGGGCTCTGCAAAGAGCAAACACACCTTGTCACATTCCCCATCCAAGCCCTTGGCACGGGGCCACACCTTGCAGTGTTTTGGCTTTTCCATGGGAGCAGCCCCAGGACACGAAGCCGAGGAAGAGACGAGGCATGGCAGGAGTGAGCTCGCCAGGGTGATGTCACCTCCCCGGGGAAACTCGTTCCTCTGCAAATCCCAATCCAGGCTGGAGCGGAGCTCTCCCCTGCTCACCCCGAGGGAATCCGCCCACAAGGATCAACAGCAGGTGGTGGAGGGTGGGAAAACACATATAAAGCTCCCAGGGAGCAGCTCTCCCTGACTGTCCTGGCTCCACGGATCGGCTCCCAGCATGAAGACACTCCTCGTTGGACTCCTGCTTGGCCTGGCATGCCTGGAGTTGGGTAAGACCTCCTCATTCCCAACTCTGCAGGGACCATCCCAAGAAATTCCTGGCAGGGGAGGGAGAAGGAAGCTGAGCAGAGAGACCTGGGAGCCCCCAGGGAGGGGAAATAACACCTCTGTGTGTTGAAGAAGGTCACTGGAGAGGGCGAATGGGGAAAAGGGATTTGCATTCCTGGTGGGAAGAGCTGTGATTCCTGACTGGGAATGATGCACATCGTACGGATGCACAGGGATGTGTATCCCGTATCCAGGGATGGAGGGGATCAAGGCTGCTTTGTAAGGCTCAGGTTGAAATGACAGCAGTGTGGCACAGGGCAGGAGGACCATTCGGGCAAGGGCTTAATCCTAAACTGCCATCCTATCCCTTCAGGAATGGGGTGGGATAGGTTCATCCCTAGCTCCTGCCATCCCTGAAACCTCCCAGCTGGCTGCTGGAAGCACTGGAAACCAAGGGATGAGCCTCAATCTAGATATGAGGGAAGGTAGGAGAAAAAACTCCGAAGGCTTTGGAAAGGTTTATCAAACCACCTGCTCCGGGATTTTCCCTCGTTATGGGAGATGAGGAGATGGGTGGGGGTGGGAATTCCCCTGGGGCTGTTTGGGTTTGGTCTCTGATGGACAGCAGGATCATGGCTGTGTCTTCCTCCATCTGTTTGTCACCTGCTGCAGCTCCATCCCAAGGGTGCCACCACCCTGGTGGGGTTTAACCTCCAGCCCCAGAGACTCTCAGGCTGCTTCCATGGGATCCTGAAGGATCCCAAAGGAAAGGCAGCCTGGACAGGGGGGGAAATGCCTCCATCTGAAGCCCTCTTTGGGATCCAGTGGAATTCCTGAGGATCTGACAGAGCAGGTTTCCACCCGTAGGTCTGGCAGTGCCACCACGGAGAGGCACCACCACCCTTTGCTTCAGGGCTGAGGTCAGGGCAGGAATGGCTTTTCTGGGATCATCCAGTGGGAAGCAGCTGGTTTAGGCACAACTGAGGGATGTGTTTGTGACCATCCAGCCTCCAGAGGTGTGATGTCAAGGGATGAAAGGCACTGTTGGATAGTGATGAGCAGGGAATTCTTGGCACAAGATCAGGACACAGAGATGTCCACGTTCGGTTCTTCTGGTCTGATCCTTGTGGATTTGGGTTTTCCTCTTCCCCTGCAACCTTCCTGCAGAACCAGTGTCCTCAAAATCAGTGAAAGACGAGGGGGCTGAGGTTTTTATCCTTAAATCTGCTTTTAACTGGGATTCACTCCCACACAGCCTGGGGCACTTCCCTGCTCTCCATGAAAATGGTGAGGTTTGGGAAACACCTCAACCCAAAGGTTGCAGAGCAGTTTCTCAGGTGCTTTGAGCCACTACTGCTCCATCTATCCATCCGTCCACTCATCCATCCATCCATCTACTCATCCATCCATCCATCCACTCATCCATCCATCCATCCATCCATCCATCCACTCATCCATCCATCCATCATCCATCCTTCCACCATCCATCTATCCATCCATCCATCCATCCATTCACTATCCACCTGTCCATCCACCCATCCACCATCCACCCATCCATCCATCCATCTATCTATCCATCCATCCACCCACCCATCCATCACCCCACACACCCAACAAACCTCCAAACTCTCGGGCTGATGATGAGTTTTCTCCCTCAAGTGACTTCTCCCGGATCATTTCCGAAGGGATTTGGTGATTCCCTGAGCTGGGAAAAGCAGGGAGGGCTCCACCACAACGTGTTTCCAAGGGTATGGCCACGACAAAACCATCAGCATTCACATTAAAGAGTCCTTTTTTTACCTCTGCAAAGAGGACAAAGAAAGTTTTCGCATCGTGTGGGTCCTACTGGACAAAACCTTCCAAAGGAGGTGCTGAAAGAAGTAAACTTAAAAATTCTTAAAATCTCTTAAATGTTAAATTCAATACAAATTTTAAATTAAAAAAACCCTTACATTTTAAAACTTAAATTTACTTTCATTTTTAAACTTTTTTTCATATTTAATTTTAATTTACATTTAAAAACTTCGATTTTAAATTTAAAAAAAAAAAAAGAGGTCAAAGATGGTTTTTTCATCATGTGGGTTCTACTACACTCCTGAATTTTCCAAAGGAGGTGTTGAGAGAAGCAACCTTAAAAATTCTTAAAATGTCTTAAATTTAAAATTTTACATAAATTTAAAATTAAAAAAATAACTTGCATTTTAAAACTTAAATTCAACTTTAATTTTTTTTTAACTTTTTAAAATTTTTAGTTTAATTTTAATTTCACTTACTTTTAAAAATTCAATTTTAAATTTCAAAAAAAGAGGACAAAGACAGTTTTTGCATCGTGTAGGTTCTACTACACACCTGAATTTTCCAAAGGAGATGCTGAGAGAAGTAGATGTCTTTAAAAATCGTCATATTTCTTAAATTTAATCTTAATTTTTTTAAATTTAAAATTTAAATTTTTAACTTACAGTTTAAAACTTAAAGCTAACTATAATTTTTAAACTTTTTTTTTTAATATTTAATTTTAACTGACATTTAAAAACTTCGATTTTAAATTTCGAAAAAGAGGACGAAGACAGGATTCTACTACACACCTGAATTTTCCAAAGCAGGTGTTGAGAGAAGTAACCTTAAAAATTCTTCCAATTCCTTAAATTTAAATTTAATTATTTAAAAAAAAAAATTAAAAATCAGGGATTCAAACAAACACCCCCCCAAACTATTTCTCCTCCTCCCAAAGCCCCAGAAGTTCCTCTCCGGCAGCAGATGGAGCAGAATTAGAACATAAAACCATCGTCTGTTTGAATATTTACCAGTAGATGGCACTGGCTGGTTGGTTTGCGATGGTAGAACCGCGACTTCGGAATATCCGCACACTCGGGATCTGCCGGGTCGGGATGGGATGGGAAGGGCTCACGCAGGGACTTGGAGCAGCTGTCGGGATCAAGGATTTCCCGGGATCAAGGATTTCCCGGGATCAGGGACTGGTGATGCCCCTCCCTCGGCCTCACCGATGCCCTCTCACTTTTTAAAGAGGCGTCACCCCCTTAAAAAGCAGCAGAAGCCCCTGATGGAAGTGGGGGGGGGGGGGTTCCAGCCCTCG